TGTTTTTCTTTTAAAAACAATGCTAAACTATCTAGATATGTCAGTAGAAACATGGACTATTGGACCGATCTAGAGATGAGTTTAAATATCAGATGCAGTGGAGTATAAGAGCATGAAGGAGATGAAAGTACTGTGAGAAAATAGTTTAGGGAATCAACCATAGCATCCAGAATCAATAAGGGAAGGAGACCAGGGGAGGAAACTATAGTCTTAGGGAATGAAGGTTTAAAAACAACAGGTGTCAAGGAAATTGGATTCCAGTTTTTAATGAGAATGAGAGAGCTGGAAGAACAGAAGGTACTGATATTAAATTTTCCTAAGTGGAGATATTCTAGATCTGTGCTATCCAGTATGGAGGTCACTAGCGACATATGGCTATTTACATTAAAAATAATTAAAATTATAATTATTTTCCTCTATCATACTTGCAGCATTTCAAGTGCTCAATAGACGTGCAAAGGCTACCATACTGGACAGGGCAGATAAAAAAATTTCCAACATGTAGGAAGGTCAATTGAGAGTGTGGCTCCAGACAATGCCAAGTTCTAAGGAATACCTAGGGGTGTGAGTTGCTGAAGACAATGGAGACAAGAGCCACTGAGGAGGAATCAGGAAGGCAGGATATTGGACAAGTTTTTCATAGAGATGTTCAATTCAGCCTGTGGCAGGAGTTGCAATGGAGAAGATATGAGCTAGACACTGACATCCTCAGTGAATGTAGAGTGTGTGACCAGGTAGATGAACACATAAACCTTGTTGGGAGTTGTAATGTGCTTCCTGTGTATACTAAACCCTCCAGGCCTATCATACTGTCCTTCACTTCTGAAGCATGTTTGACTGACTCATTCCAGACCCTACCCCAGAGTGATATTCCAGATCCCACTTAAACCTCTTCAGAACCACTCTCTTGGTTAAAAAAAAATCACCTCTTCTGAAACTACCAAATTGCTTCAGCCAACTCAATACTGTGGGATGGAAAAGAAGCCTGCTGAGTTAACTCTATGTGGTCAGGTTAACTAGATAGCTAAAAATAATGCATCTATGGGCATAGCTATAGCTTCATAAGGAAAATGTAACAGAGATTATCTGTACCAGAATATATGAAAAAAGAAATATTTTTATTAAAGAGCATAGGTAGTTTGTGTATTCTGTTGAATTTATTAAACACACTTGTTATAATTTAAGACTTACACATAAATTTTTTATGATTAAGTCAAGACGGATGTCTATCAATGTGGAAATGTGGTATAGCTTGTTATGTTGGCTATTCATGGCTAAAAATATCACACATCACCCAAAACAATTTCCAGTCGAATCATGCTACTTGCCACATCCCCACTTTCCTTTTCTTAAGAGTTGCCAGCTCTGAGCTACAAACAGACAGTAATCCTTCCCACTAACAAATCATGAGTGAGCACAAATTCTTCGGTCCTTTCAATTCTTCTACCCCTCAAGCCAGTGTACCGCTGTGAAATAAGAAGGGGAGAAAGGTTTACCATTTTGGAAAGTTGTTAACATCTTGTTTAGGTGAGTAAATGAGGAATCTCTCTATAACTTAATTATAAACTGGAATAAGCTCAGTCCCTCTTTTCTCCTGTCACCAATGCTAATCCCTCTTAAATTTATTCATTCTTGTTAATATGTGTACTTTTACTCCTACTTATTTTTAAGAACTCGGGAATAGCTGTGTGCTATAGTCCTGTTTCTTATTTTTCAATAGGCAATACATTTTTAGTCTTTGTTGAATATGCTAGGTTGAATAGTTATTTGTGAATAATGGGCTCTTCCACAGCAATATACAGCAGAAAATTCCTTTTGACAAGCCATAGCAAGCTTAATTGAGTCATGACGTATTCCACCAAATAGCTTGCAGTGAGGAAAATAGTCCTTTTCCTAAGGTAGCATATGCTTTCGCACAATTTCAACATGACTGTATGGTCTCACATGATTGAGGAAATTACTCCATTTATGAAAAGTTACAGAAAGGTATGGAGCTAATATTTGATTGAGCTAATTAAATTTTAAGGAGGTATATACTCTAGTCTCAGAGGGAAGGTCGGGGGAGGAGGGAGGGTGACGAGGTGTGAGTGGGTAGGTGGGGGGAAATCAACCAGTGAACTTATATGCATAAAGCATGGACACAGACAATGGGATGGTGAAGATCTGGTGTGGGGGGCAGAGGTGAGCTAGAACGGGTACATGGAGGAAACAGAAGGCATATGTAATACTTTCAACAATAAAGGTTTTAGTAAATAAATAAAGAAGTATACACTCTAGGCTTTCTTCCTCCCTAGATTTAATGAAACCTATTTCTTAAAAACCTTACTACTGAATTACAGGTCAATTTTACATTTTTTTTTTTACTCTATTGTTTAAGTATTTCCTAGTGAGAATCCCAAATCAATTCTTTTTTTTATTTTAAATGTCATACAATAATATGAATAGAAACTATTCTATTAAGATAGTATTTCTTTTTTTAATTTATTGAAGTAACTGGTTAATAACATATGAATTTCAGGTATAAAAATGTAAATTGATACAGCCACTATGGAAAACAGTATGAAAGTTCCTTTAAAAATCAAAAATATAACTACCATATGATCTAGCAATTCCTCTACTGGGTAGAAAAATATGAAAACATCCATTTGTAAAAACAGTATTTCTGATTCACACCCAATGAGACTTTGCAGCCTGAAGCCACTTCAAATTATGATATTACTTTTAATGTTTTCAGGACAGATGTTGTTAGGGCTTTTGGAACAAAAAGTAGATTATCAGCTAATATTAGTTAACTTATGAACTTTCATCTGAATACCCTTCATACCCAGGGGACCTGGGTGATATTATAGCTCAATGTCAGCCCGAAGAATTCCATCAATCATGGGCACCATCCTTTCTTCCCTCCATAATGCAACAATAAGGAAAGGAAAGAGAGACTATAAACCATTTATTCGAACCATATAAATGGGTTGAAAGTAAAATGTGCTGTTATATTTGTCCCCAAAGTCAAATTTACGTAGCATATAATACAAGTAGCCCATTCAATTGCATCAAAGGACTTCCAGGTATCTAATAAAAGTGTTGCTATTGGTTCCAATTTTTTCTTTGTATTCCAGATGAGTTACATTAGCCTATGCAGATTATCTGATGCTTATCTCCCGAGGTACAGCCTAGTTGGATAAGGGCCTATTAGATATGCAACTATTTTATTTAGTTCCATAGCCAATGGTCTGGTCTCTATTATTTTATGTCTACTCACCCTGTATAAAAGGATATGTTCCACAATACTGCTAAGGGGATAACATGCAATCTTGAGCATAAGGCTAGATGGATATATATAATTGGATAAAAGGACTGCAGACTGCCTTGATTCCAAACCACAGATAGTATCTGATGCTTTAAAAATTCAGTACACACCATTTAAATGCATTACATTTATTCATAGTCTATTTCTGAAACTAGTGGCTGTTCAGTGTGCTGATGGCAGAGAGAAGTTAATGTGTTGGTAAGCAACCTAAATTTTTATAAAGCTATTTTGAAAGTAACTCAATGCCACAGAAAGTAGTATCAATTACTCCTTGCTTTTCAATTGACATTGCAAGGCTGCTCCAAATTTCTATTCTTCAGTTCAGCATCTGCAAAGAAAAGGAAGGCACAGAGTATGTCCTTGGGATATTTCTGGGTATGACAATCACAAGCAAGTACTTCTTTAGAACACACCCTAAAATATTTGGGGTAAAAAAAACCCAAATATTGACTAACCCTAGATGCCCTATGGATAGGGAATTGCTTTAGAAAACTGAGCAATGGAGAATAGGGTAAAGCCAGTGGTTGACCCTGAGGGTTCTTATAACCTACTAGAGGCCCTGCGCACAAAATCGTGTGGGCAGGGTCCCTAGGCCTAGCCTGCGATCAGGGCCATCTTCTGCCCGTTCACCAGTCCCCAAACCGAACGCTGCCTCATCCCCCGGGGGCGGGTAGGTCGCAGGTGTGCCCCGCAGTTTCTGTCAGCGCTGCAAGCCCCAGAAGCAGCAGCAGTAGCAGCAGCGGCGGCAGCAGAGGCGCCCGCGTGAGCGGCCCGAAGTAGGCAGCGCATTCCATCAGCAGCTGGCCCAGCGCACACGCATGGAGGTGAAGTCGCCAGTGCCCGCTTTCCCGCTGGCCTGAGCCCCCGAACAGCTGGGGATGAGCTGGGGATCCCAACTGCCTGACAGCCAGCCTGGTCCTCCCACCACCCACCCTGGTTCCCCTGTTCACCATCACTGATCCATTGGAGCCTGCGGGTGGGGGGGGAGAGGGGGGGTCGGGGACTGGGAGAACAAGAAGTGGTCAATGCCACCTTATGGTGACCAGTTGTTTGGTCATTCCAGTCATTAGGGACACTGGCTATATATGTATATCCTATCTAATAAAAGAGAAACATGGCACATAGCAAAT